GTTTAGCCTGAGCGCTTTGTTCCAAACTGTGATCACCTGCCTGTCATAAAGATGAGAAGTTTTATTATTCTTTGAGACAAAAGCAATTAGGTAGCACAATGCGTACCCCCAATTACCAGGTAACCTTAGGACGAACTAGAAAAGAATGGATAACAAAGGCTTAGTTACTATTAATCTCAGGAGCATATATGTAATGCGAGGCTTGGTCATGTATAAAAAGGGTGGGATTTCTCTCTGTCTCTGTCATCTCATGAGCGGGTTACCTGTGATGTGCACCACAGTCTGGTTTTAATGCTTGTTCAATAATAAAACTGTTCTCCTTCTCTGGAGTTGTGACAAGGATTTTCTGGATTGGCAGGAGACTTTAATTTTCCCCCCAATAGCATCTTGGTCATCTTTGATCAGAAGACAAGAAGAAAGAAGGTTGGGATGTCATTGATAAGAAAGCGATAGGTATTCCTACCAATCATCTGTGCAGCTGTGGGGTCTGCTTTTCACCTAACGTGTTAGAAACTGTTTATTGAGGTCTGAGTGTCATGGGAGCTGATTTTCACATTCTCAGGACTAGGGCGGAAGCCAGGAGAACGATTAGGAGTCACAATGCAGACATTGACTGGGACCGTGGCTGAGGAGGCAGAAAGAGACAGATTTGAGAAATATTAGGACTGATCTTTTATGAAATCGCTTCCCTGTTCCAAAAACTGAGGCACAGAGAACTTAACCTCTGTTGGGCATTCGAACATGGATAGCGCTTCCCAGCACACTTAAGATAAAATCCCAACCCTCTTTCCAGGCCTCGCAGGATCGGACAGAGGTCAGTACAGTATGTGCTATGGTTGGGAACAATTCAGCAATAGTAACCGATATCTATATATGGTTTCATTTATTCCCATTTTATAGGTGAGAAGACCACCTCTAGGAGGCATCTGGATGGTGAGGTACCAAGGATGGTGACGATTTGCTGTTTTGCAGGAATCGATGGATGGGCAGCCTTTCTTAATGCAGGAACTATTCGGAAGAGGACAAGGTAAGCGGTGAGCGGGTGATGTGAGTTCAGTCCCGGATAAGTCCAATTTCAGGATCCCAGAGGGAATGTAGGTGAGCAGTTGGCTAAGTGAGTCTAGATGGGAACAGAGAGAAGTGGGAACATTTTAACTGGGTTTGGATTGTCATTCAAGCTGTAGACAGGGGTGAGACAGTGAAAGAAGGGGGCCTGTGGCCGTACCAGCATGTCCCATCTGGGCGAGACTGCAGAGGAGGCTGGGAAGAAGCAACCCTAGAAAGAGGGTTGGGACACAGAGGCCAAGGTGAGTCAGCGTTCTGAGAAGACGAGGCATGATAAACAGTGTCTGCCGCGCCTGGGGGGAGGCAAGAAGGAGGCCAGGAATTTAGAGGCCTGAAGGTCCAGACTCTATCTCAGATCTGCAGGACTCCAGGAGCTACTCTAAACCTTTCTGTTTTAATGACTAGCAGCAGCTGCTGCAGTAGCACCATCCCCCACAAATGCCCATATTGAAGCCCTAACCCCAGAGACGGGGGTCTTTAAAGAGGTGATTGAGGTCAAATGAGATTGTTTAGGGTAGCCCCCTAATCCAATAGGATTGATGTCCTTTTAAGAACAGGAGTTAGGACACAGAGACACACGTAAATTCCACGTAAGCACAGAGGAAAGACAGCCATCTACACGCCAAGGAGAGAGGCCTCAGAAAAAAAACAACCATGCTGACACCTTGAGCTCAGACTTCTGGCCTCCAGAAGTATGAAAAAATAACTTTCGGGTGAAGCGACTCAGTCTGTGGCATTTTGTTATGGCAGTTCCTAGCAAATGAATGCAAGTAGTAACGCGTGTTTTAACATTTATTGAGATGAAATTCACATAACATAAAACTCAACCTTTTAAAGTGAACAATTCAGTGGCATTTTAGTACGTTCACAATGTCGTGCAATCGCCACCTCTATCTAGTTCCAATACATTACCATCACTCAAAAATAAAACCTGTGCCCATTAGGCAGTTTCTCCACTTCCCCCACAAGCATTTTCTCTGTGCCAGGCGCTGTACTATGTACTGTACATAAATGTACTCATTTAATTCTCTCAACAGTTCCAGGGGTCAACATTATTATTATTATTATTATTATTAATTTCCATTTTACAGATGAGAAACTGGGCCTCATAAAGGCTAAGTAACTCGACCTAGCTAAACAACTGGTTAGACCATTGCAATCAACAAATAATTATTGAGAATCTGCTGTGTACAGGGCTTGTGCTAGATGACTGGGCCCCCAGTCAGTCCTGATACTGACGTTGCTTCTGATCTAGTGGGAAAGATGCAGGTCGAACAGTTATTAATTAAGTAAATAATTACGAGACTGCAAAATGCAGGAAAGGAGCCATGTCTGGTTCTGGGGCTGATCGGAGGGAAGGGAGGCCTGGAGGAAGAGTAGCTAGAAGGGAGTGCAGGCATAAAGCACGTCAGGGGCGGTGGGAACAGTATACATGTGAAGGCCAGAAGTGGGAGGAAAGGGACCAGCCTGGCTGAGATGTGATTACTGAGGAAGAGAATGGCTACAGAGAGGTATGCAGCGGTAGACAGGGGTCTGTTCCTTTGCAACAATGTTAGGGATATCAGATTTATTTCTAAGGGTAATAGAGAGCCACGATGGAATGGCGTTAACACCATCCATTGAGAGTAATTTTACTAGTTCCGCTGTCTCAGGGCATTCTGCTTTTTCCAGGTTGGCACGAGGGGGAGTTTGTTGAGCCCTCCATGTACTGATGACAAATCGTTCTTTACCTGTGTGTGCCTCCCAGTTGGACTTTGAGCTTCTGGGAGGCAAGAACACTATCTTCTCACCTCTGTATACCCAGGGCGCACATCACAGGGTCGGGCACAAAACCCGAGTTGTTTTTTTTGTTGTTGTTTGTTTGTTTTAAAAGGTGCAGGCACTGAAAAAGGTACCCACCCACAGCTAAGTGAGAACTCCTGCTTCGAAGGTTCAAATCCAGGCCCTACCACTTTTTGTCTCTGTGACTTTGAACCAGTGACTCCCACCTTGATGAACCTTGTTTTCCGAATCTGCACAATGGTCGTGGATACCTAACGCAGAGCAACCCTTAGAGAACGCGCGTAAAGCGCTCAGCACAGCACCCACTCAAGGATATTACTTGAGTAGGTCCGCGGGAAGGGATCCGGGGGTGGCATCTTGACTTTGCGATCCCGCGAAGTCAAGCAGATCTGGATCCGAATCTAGGACAAGGGGCTCTGAGCACGTCTGTTGACTCTCCTTGAACCTCGGTGTCCCCATCGGTACCTCGGGAAGGGTACACAGCTCATGGGATCATTGGGCAGGTTGGATGAGCTCATATGAGCTCGGGAAGCGCTAGGCACGTAGGATGCTGCAGTTTGAGGGTGGTGCGTGGTCCCGAGGCCCGGAGCCCAGCGGCTTCCTCCGCGGGGGGCGCAGCCCTCGGAGGCAGCGGAGATGGCCAGGGGCGGGGCGA